TCACTACATCGGTACAGAATATTGGTCAAACTGATTAACAATCTCTATTTTGCATCTTATTAAAAATGCGCTTTTAAGATGGACTTTTTTCTACAGAAGTCTAAGTTGGACTGACAACTCAGTCAGTCCCTGTTGTATTTCTGAACTAGGGTTCAGTCAGCTCAGCAGCATCTGCAGGCCCTTCAGGCTCAGTATCCTCACATGGCTAATGGCAATGCTGGTTTTATGATGGAGGGACGCAGAGAAGATGGAGGCATGCCGCAGATGCCTGTACACCCAGAGGATGCCGCCCAACTGGAGCCTGCGGCTGCACAGAAAGGTAGTTATCCAGGACTGTGTGTTTTCAAGCATTAGAACTGAGCTCAGCAGACTGAATACATTCTCTCATGTAGCTTTTAGTCAAAGTGTTTTTTTCCCCGTTTAAGCACCTGCTAAAGGAAAGCGAGGAAGGGCAGCGAGCAAAGAACCTAAAGCCAAAGGTGAACCTAAAGCCAAACCTGGACCCAAACCCAAAAAATCCAAGGAGGATAAGGAGGCCCCGCCAGCTGAAGGACAGGAGAAGATTGACGGAACCTTCAAGAAAGTCAAGAGGAAAGTCGATCGCTTCAAGGGCATGTCGGAGGAGGAAGTCATGAAGAGAACACTGCCTGACATTCTTACCCCCAATCTGGACTATGTCATTGCAAGTTTTTATGGCTTTTCTCTGAAGTTGTCTTTTAACAATGAAGAATGTTAACCCAAAGATGGCATTGAACCCAAAGTGTTTTTTTTCCCCGTTTAAGCACCTGCTAAAGGAAAGCGAGGAAGGGCAGCGAGCAAAGAACCTAAAGCCAAACCTGGACCCAAACCCAAAAAATCCAAGGAGGATAAGGAGGCCCCGCCAGCTGAAGGACAGGAGAAGATTGACGGAACCTTCAAGAAAGTCAAGAGGAAAGTCGATCGCTTCAAGGGCATGTCGGAGGAGGAAGTCATGAAGAGAACACTGCCTGACATTCTTACCCCCAATCTGGACTATGTCATTGCAAGTTTTTATGGCTTTTCTCTGAAGTTGTCTTTTAACAATGAAGAATGTTAACCCAAAGATGGCATTGAACCCAAATGACTGAAATGAATCTTATATTTATGATACAGATCGGAATTAATCCAGGGTTGATGGCGGCCTACATTGGAAGATGGTTTCCTGGACCAGGAAACCATTTTTGTAAGTAGACTACAATTCTACTCATCTCTATTGTTATATTATGCTTTAATGTAAAAGAGATTTTATTGTTGTTATTATATTGTTTATTTTATTTATATAATTGCTATTATAAATATATTGTAGGGCTGTCAAATCGATTATTCGCATCCAAAATAAGTTTTTGTTTACAATAATCAATTTGACAGCCCTAATATATTGTTGTTTTTAATATATAAGGTTGTTTACAAACATAAAAAGAGAAATTCTAAAGGTTAATATATATTAATAATATAAATAAAATATTCTAATAATTAAAGAACAAATATTATAAACAACTTGTATTCATATTTTTAAAAGGAATTGTTCAAAACAGTTATGTTGACATTATTATCTTTCAATATAAAGAGGTATTTTATATTATGTCTTTATTGTTAATAATATAACAGTGCTATTAGTATTGTTATTATTATTATTATTAATAAATTCATATAAAATTAAATTATTATATTAACATTTTAAAAGTGGTTGTAGACAAATATAAAAAGATTTTATACTGTTAAGAGTTTATTAATATAGTAATGTAAATACAGAAATATTCTAATATAAAATAACATTTATTATATATTTAAAAAATATTCGAATATAAAATAACGTAAATAATTATGCAGCATAATATATTTTTTAAAATCTATAATATATTAATTTTAAAAATAAATAGTTTAAAATCTCTAATCTTTCAATTATTAAACTAATAATCGTTCTTGTCAATCTTTTAGGGAAGTGTCTGTTCCTGTCTGGATTCACAGAGAAGCTGCTAAATCACATGGATGATCAGAGTTTGCCTGAGAAATACAGCATCGGCTTCACAAATATGGTAGAGAGAGCGACACCGGGAAGCAAAGATCTCTCTAGGTGCGCTAGATTGTCACTCTACTTTCATTCTTTACTGGAAATAGTGATGTTCCTCTCATCCAAGCTGTTTTGCTTGTCACCTTCTGCAGCAAGGAGCTTCGAGAAGGTGGTAAAATCTTAGTGGAAAAGATAAAGAAATTCAAGCCACTCATAGCAGTTTTTAATGGAAAATGTAAGTATTCAAACACAAATACAGAATGCAAACTGATATGAAGGTGTGCATTTAACAATTACTCTTGTTTTAGGTATATATGAAATGTTCTGTAGGGAGATATTTGGGAAGAAGCCCAAAACACTTGAATTTGGCCTACAGCCTCACAGGATTCCTGACTCTGAGACGGTAAAAAAAAACAAAAAACGTTTTGCTTCACTTCATGAAAAAAAGGAAAATTTGGTCAGATATGAGTCATATGCTGTATCTTACTGTTTTCTGTAGGCGTTGTACCTGATGCCCTCCTCCAGCGCCCGCTGTGCTCAGTTTCCTCGTGCTCAGGACAAAGTGCATTTTTACATCAAGCTGAGAGAGCTCCGAGATCAGCTGAAGGGTGTTGAGAAGCCCAAGGAGATCGAAGAAGTGAACTACTCGTTTGATCTCGGCATGGCCAAAGGTACAAGCAGACCGTTTGTGATAGCCCTCCTGATGTACACAATTATGAACTGTACTTGACCACTTTATCTTCCTTCTGTCTTACAGAGGACGCTAAGAAGATGGCCATCAAGGAAGAGCAGTATGATCCTGGTTATGAGACCGCTTTCGGAGGAGCGTATGGAGAACCGGCACCTGAAGGAGGCCAAAGCAATGGATATTGTAGCTTCTCCACATCTGAGGAGAAAGGTTGGTACCATCTTTCCTCTGTGGAACACAAAAGAAGATATCTTTTTGTCCATACAATGAAAGTCAGAGGGGTCTTTAGATGTTTAAAATCTATTTTTGTGCTCATACCTCCAGCTGACGCAGCGGAGAGGGCGCCTACGAATCCAAACGCGGTTGGCCAGGTTCAAGACGGTCAGTGGATGACGCAGTCTTTTGCCGATCAGATCCCAGACATCGGCAGCTCCTCTCAAGCCCAAAGCTGGGGTGTATGAGGAAGGACCGTTCTCAGGGACTCCAGACGAAGCCTGTCGGTTCCTGTGCTCTTCCAGAGATGCTGTGCCTCTTATCTTCTCTCAGTCGAATCCAGGAGTCTTTGGGGCATTGGTTTCTTTCTCCTGTGCGTTGCTGTGACAGTCTGTTACGTTATAATTTCTGGACCGATTTGAGGAATCAGTATCATGCGAGGTGGCCCAACTTGCACAAGGAGAATCCAATGGCTGCTGTGCTTTTAAAGAAACTGTACCTCTGAACTTCAATTTGGGGGCCTTTGGGATCTCAAATGCCTCTTTATTAAAGAAAAGAACAGTTTTTACTATGAATTTCAATTAGACCTTTTAGGAATTAGCATTTCTATGGAACTGGAGAATATACTCATCTTTTACTTTAATGGTTTAGAGTCATTGACGTTATTTTTCGGTAGTTTAGTGTACGAGGTTCTGAGCACTGGTTTATTGCATTATGCGATATCAGGGACTGATACTTGATTTGTTCATAAGGAGCACTCACTATTATTTCATTTGATATTTTAGATGGGACGTGTTATGTTTGCTTTTGTAGTAATATTTTAAGTGTAACTACCCAAATCTTTTTAAAGTGCACATTTTACATATAATATTGCAAAATCTGTGAGGATGACATTTAAATAATGTTTTGTTACTATAATAATGTGACAAATTAGGTCTTTTTACATGTTGGAAGGACACAATTACTGGTGGTTGGAAATGTCTTTAAATGTGTTCCTTGTGAGGAAGCATCAGCATCCCTTTTTTTTTTTTTTTTAAATGTACACAACCTCTCCGCCTTCAGTACTGTAAAACACAATACAGTATGACTGTTTATATAAGTGAAATAATCCTGAACATGCCATAATTTATGGATTTATCCACATGCTTTTACTTGGTGCTATTTTTTACCCTTTCTGTAAACATGATTATCTTTTTTGTTTATTAAAATACAGTTATGCTCATTTCTGCTTGTACATTTATTTCCATATTAGTATTATATATTATATTTTAGTGAGAAAAGCTTGTAAACTGGTAGAAAATGTTTAATTATATATTGTATATTTTAAGGAGATTATACATAAACACAAGCACTAAACACTAAACCCAAGAATTCATCTGACATTCATTTTGTAAATGATCTGACATCTTTAATTTATAGGCAGTTTAAGTAAGTTAAAGTGGTGTGATTACATAAAAATCAAGATTCAAAAGGTTATTGAAACCTTTTTATTCAAAATAATTACACCGTGTATGTAAGAAGAGGCGGTGCTGGTAAGTGAGTTGGGTTTGAAGTTGAAGGGAGTTGGTGAAGAGTTGGATATTTCTGAATGAGTAAGTAACTGAAGGCAGAAATTCTTATTTAGGGACATCACACTTAATATTTGGATTATTTAGATAGATTGGATTATCATTCTCATTGTCATCTGCCACACCCACAGCAGATATGACCACATCTCTGGAGCGCACTCAACAAGCCTAAAAAGCAGCCAGGGTCTTCGCATGAAATTAGACTTTGATATTTCAATTTTACTCATTTTTAACATATATACCTTAAAAGCATTATGTATGCCATCTCCACTGGCAAAATGCACCACATTAGACAGTAAACCAGCTTCACTGAGAGAGAGAACATCTTATTTCTTCATCCTCCCTCATGCTAACCTTACAAAATACTGGAGATGGAGGTGAAAAAGATATTTTTTTCTCATATAATCTTTTAGATTTACTGGTTCATTGTGTTGGATGCAAGTTATTTGTCTTACCTTTTTTGATGGACTCTGGAAGGATATTTTTAGACTTCCCAGTCACTCTTAGCTTGTTTTCACTAATATATTTCTTAGATGTTGGAATATTCTCCCATTCATCTATTAGGGTCAGCTCTGACAGCGGAGATGTGAGCTTCAGGAGTTCTGGAAAACAATATTAGATCCTAACACCACACAATCACGCCAAATATCATCTTCAAGAAGAGTGTAAGGCTACTCACCATTTTCTTTTAAAAAAAAGGAAAGCATCCTTATATCCATTTTGACACATCTCAGCCAAGACCTTACGAAACACCACAACAAGGTTATGTGGGCCTAAGTATGTTTTTGAAAATCAAGCATTCAAAAATTTACCTCTGGATTCTGGAGGAAAAAATGCAATGACCACACGGTGTGCGTTAATGAAGTTGATGTGAATGCTGACGTTATTATATGTCATGAAAGTAAAAAGGGTTGCCATTAGGACTGATGTCACACTCTCCAGAAAAAGGCAAGATGGTGATTGTGTTCCTCAGACTAGAGAAAGGCATGTTATCACGCAATGCTCCATCTACATACCGCTGAAAACTTATAATATGGGGGGAAAACTTTAAAAATTGTTGAAACTTTAGTTTAATTTGCATTTCAACTAACTAAATAAAAGACACACTCAGTAATTATTTTCCTAATTAGAAAATAATATAATCTTCAAAATATGTAACAAAAAAATGTACATCGACGTAGAAAAAGCTGTTTTAATTTACATGGAGCGGGTCGCCTCGTGTTGAGGTCACATGACCAGCAGAACATTTTTCAAGTTTTATCTCGGCAGCTTTTCTGACATTTTATGTCGCAAATATGAGCGTAAACTTTTTAAAAAAAAATGCCGATCTATAAACTTCGAAATGCGAATGTTTCGCTCGTGGAAAATATTAGGCTCAACTGAAAATATTTGCATCCACACCACTAGGTGTCAGTAATATCAAGATAATAAAGCCAGCAAAACATCAAAACTAATAAAATATCAGTAAGAGCACATTGAATTGAAAAACTGACTATTATTGCGAATGTATCACCAAAATATACAGTCAAACGGCTGTGTTTGGCTACATACTATTCCATGATATCTTGGAGGTATCACGCCACAGTACAGTGGATAAAAGCAGCTACAAATCAGAGTCTGCAGAGAGAGCAAAGTGTAAATCATAAATCCTCATTAACACTTATCTATTCATCATGCAGGAAGCAAAAGGTAGTTGAGTTCACCTGAATGAGATCTTCTTTACTGTCAAACTCAGACACCAACACATTTGTCCCATCTGACACTCGTGTGAGTGACACAAATAGCCGTCCACTGGCGAGTAGGTGGGCATCATCAGGCAGGTCACGGTTTAGGAAGTTTCATACTATCTTCAGCAGGTCGAAGGAGGGATGCACAGCACCCAGAGTGCCTTTCCGAGTCTCTCGAGACATGTCCAGCAAATTTTCACAGGATTTGGCTTCAAAATGGAATTTCCTATAGGATCACCAATATTAATCAATATAATAGTCATCCAAATGAATTAAATAGGGGGTTTTCTAGCTTGAATGAGTCTTCTGAAATAAGTTTAGATTTTAAAACTACTATTCACTATCATTTAATTGTGAATGTGAAAGATTTGTCTTTTGGATTCGTGACAAATGCCTTCAACACACCTTATTTGTTGTCTTTTACAAATTGTGTGAAGTTTTAAAACTAGAAATAAGTGTTGAAACATACCTGGACCATACTCCTTTTTAGAATTTATTTTTAATTGAATTACATATAAAATATGAAAGGTATAATATATAATTTCAAATTGTTATTTAAATTACATAAAATTCCTAATATAAACATATTCTCTTGCTGTATAAATAAAAACAACATAAATAAAGGATTAAAATAATCAGTTTATTTTTTTATTTAAAAAACTGTGACATCAGTGTTGCTTAAGCAGTGCAATAGGACACTCCAAACTAATAAACAGATGAATCTGCAGTCATTTAAGGAAAATGCGCAGAAAATCATTGTATGAAATCCTTCCTGTGAGGTTCTTGTCAAAAAAAGAAGCGAAATGAAAGAATTCCTCCTCTGACAGATTCACGCTGTATTGTCTCAGAACCTGAAAAAAAAATCATGTCAAAATGTTGCATGATTAAATACAAGACATGAACTGAACGTGTTAAGTATAAAACAGTGCTTTGTACCTTTCTGAAGTCCTGAAGAGAGATCTTTCCAGTGCGCTCTTTGTCAAAGGCGATGAATTTGTGCCTCATCTGCCTCCAGAAGAGCTGGATAGGCCTGGAGATTCTCAGCATGGCTTCAACACACTGGCTACTAAGTGGGCCGGGACTCATCTGAAGGAGGAAGTCAGAAAATGCTCCGTGAGTATATTGACAATTCATCGACTATACTGGCCTATTTAGAATGACAGCAGTGAACTCACTGGTGTCCTGGGGAGCTGCAGTTTGAGTCTGTGGGATGCAGAGTTGACCTGAGGATTGAACATCAGCACAAAGTGCCGCAGGAAGTCCGGGTAAGAGAGACGTCCACTGTTTTTGATGTCGTATTTGACAGCCAGCTGCTCAAACTCAAGTGGACTCAGCTCAATATGGAGACCCTGGAGTATTTCTGCACAACATCAATTTAAATTCACAATTTTCAAACAACAATGTGACAGTCATAAAATGTAATATGTAATGTAAGGAACTACAATTACTGCATACACACACACACACACACACAAAAAACAGGAATACGAGATGTTTCCATTGTCATTTGCAATACATTATGATTAGCTTTCCACTTTTTGGCCAATGAAATTCCATGATTTTTCTCATAATTTTCCTTTTGATTTTTATATTATACAAATTATACATCATATTTTACACATTTTATGCATACTTATATTATGTTATTTATAATTATATTTTTACACCTGTTAATAATTGTCTACTTATACCTCTCCTTACCATGCAAGAAATCATACCTTGACAAAGGCTTTTCGCCGAAATTTTGGTGAAATAAAGAAGCTTATTTGCAAGTAAGTGTGCGGTTCTATGTCCTCTACGCAATTTTGGTGTCTTCTGACCTGCACCTCGTATGGTGTGCATGTGTGTGCTTGTTTATTTCATTAAGAAATTTATAACTATATAAAAATAATTAGAATTCAGACCCATTGTGACCTATTTCCGTACTGGTTTTACTGATTCATTGAAAATAGCCAATTTGAAAGTCAGAGCTAGAATATTTTAGATCTAAGCATAGCTAGAAAAATCATATTCACTATAGAAATGCCCATTAAATTTTTTTTTTTTTTTCAATTACTTTTCTAAGCTTGGAAAATTCCCTAGTTTTGACTTTTTTATATGGTTGAAAGGTGCTGTGACTGTTAAATGGAGAGATATCTGGCCTCAACAATGTACCTAGGAATACATCCACATCTATCTCTCCGGTCCTCTCAGGGTCGGCCTGCCTGCATCTCCTCTGGATGTGCCTCCAACAGTCCTGGATCTTGGAACGTACCTTCATCTCCACATCCTCACAGTTCAGCAGTGGTGTGGACCTTCTGCTCGCAGTGGAGGGTCTCTGAAGCTGCTCTGACACTGGAGACTGTGGACAAGGGTGGTGGGATACAAAAGACATTAGGGAACTTGTAAAATCCAATGCAAAGAGAAGAAGTATACCAATATTAGCATATGAAGTAAATCTACCGCAGAGCGCCTAAAGGCACAGGGTGCTGTTTTGGGGCGTCTGAGGGATGTTGGTCTCTCCAACGTTGCTCTTGTTGAACCTGGTAATGATTTAGCAACTTTTTCCAGGCCTTGCTGTTCTCCACTGAACTTTTTCAGGAATTCTCGATATTCCAGATTTCCAAAGCCATTAACTGGTAGCATTTTCCACAGGTCTTGAAACTGAAAGAGTTGGTTGTTTTTCAAGCTATTGAAGGAACTGCTGTATTAAAGATGCTCATGTGGTACTGGAAATTACCTGTTCGTCGGTGAGCCTCATGAAGTGACGATCACAAATGGTCTTAAAGTCAGTTTTGGAGATCATATTTATATTGGCGTAGTCGAGGTCTACCATTTCCTTTGTTATAGTGTACATGCGGGCCGACACAACCTCCTGTATCCGCCTCAAAATGTCGCTGATGACTAAAGGTCGGGGCTGATTAGGAAAGCGCATCTTATGGATTTTCTTCAGCCATTCATCTGCCATCTGTTGGAGTTAAAGAAATAAATAGTGTTTTATTATACACCATATGCAACTTAGACCATTCTAAATTTTGACAACCTCATATTGTGCAAAAAGTACAAACTTTTGACCTCTTGTTTGTGGAGGTTGAAGACTTGGAGGAATTCCTTCCAGTCAACCATAATCTCCTCCCCTTCGTTTATTCTCAGCTCAGACAGCAACTTCCTGAACTGCACTTCTGAGAGACGCATACAGAAATGGTCCAGCACTTGTCGAAACTTTGTTTGTGGTATCATACCATCTCCAGTCTTATCAAATGCAGAGAAGGCCTAGAAAACAAAGTACAGCAGCAGTTTGGGGTTGGTATGATTTTGAATGTTTTCCTTGCTAAATAAAAGTATTAATTTCTTTAAAAAAACAACAACCCCTCACTTTTGGTACAGTAGTGTTTACAAAATACTTTACACAGCTCTGTTATTGCAGCACATTTCAGGTTAAAACATCTCTATAGCAATATTAATATACTGTACTATATAAACAGTCAGTACCTTGTAGAGAGTATCTGAGGAAGCAGTAACCAGCTCCTTGACTCTTTGTATTGTTTTTTCTGGGCTCAGCTCCTCTATATCCTCCACTGGTTCTGGAGAACCCACAGTCGGACCTTGAGGAGGTTCGACTGTAGACCCGCTGGAAACTGGAGGTCCAGCGAGATGCTTTAGAAAATCAAGGTATAGCAGTTCCTTCAGACTGCCGTCAAAGCCAAGGCTGAAAAACAAAAAGAAAAGAGGAAATACAATGCAGTAGCTCATAACACTCACCATATTTTGAGTAAATATGTCTGATATAGAGAGTTACAGGTTCAGTAGATGTGTGAGCTGTTGTTCTCTTAGTCGAAATCCATGTCTGTGCAGGAGAGAGAGCAGGTCTGTCACGGTCACGTGACCATCTTTGTTTTTATCCAGAATCACGAGGCTTCCACTCACTCTCTCAAAGTCATTCCCAATCCACTTCCTTCAAACACAGATAGGTCCATGTAACACTATATGCATGAGGAGAATATTTTCATCCACTATTACATTTGTCAATTGATACAGAGATAATTTTCACCTAAGATTTTGAAGCATAACTTCCAGGTCAGGTGCGGAAATTGCCCTCTCGGTGAGCTGTTCTTGTAAAGCGTCTGATTGGCTGTCTTCATCTGATGTGATTTTAAGCTTTCTTAAAAACTCTGTCTGAGTGACAAAGCCCTTCCCCTCTTCATCATATCTGTGAAAAAAAGAAGAGTTTTTACTTTTATTTACAGCAGATATCAGACATTTGAAATTTCTGAATGCTTGCCAGATATATATTTTGGTTAACATCATGCTAATATTGATTCTGGTTCAACTATCAAATGCACTGAGGAACACATACACTCCTTGAAATATCAGTGTTGCTTACCTGTCCCAGAGTTTTTCAAACTCGTTTGGTGTGATGGGCATGTAGTATTTAAAAAGAAGCTGCTTTAGATCATTTTTGGTCATGATGCTTTTAACATCTTCACCCAACTGACAAAAGGCCTGCCAACACAATTGTTATGTAAAAAGTATGTTTAATTCCTCATTAAAACTTTTGTACATGTAGCGGGTCTCCTCATGGAAGCCACCATTTTGAGATCACATGACCGGTCAAATACTTTTCAGTTTATCTTAATAAAACAAACACATCTTGCTATAAACATGGCTGCCTGCTAATATAATGCATTTCTATTCCAATACTGGTAACTGAAAGCTATATTTTTGCATTATGCTACATCCAGGCCACTAGGTGTCAGTGTACGTTCAAGACAACTGCCATATAGCATCAAAAAAGTGACCAGGACTGGATATAGATCACCTCTGAGAGCTCTGAAGGTCTTTTCCGTGCAATGGATGTCAAAAAGCCATGAACTTGGTCACATGCAGTGTCAAGGTATCCATCTCCTC